AAAGGTCCCAACGCGGATTAAGGAAGTATAAAGAAAAGTTATACTCAAAGACATAATGACCACCCTATCCCATGGTTTGTTTAATATCGTGACACCTTCATTAACTTAAACAATGATCATGAAAACAATTACCACACAATTTGTAACTACATACAAAACACTTTTTGCATAATGGAATTCTCAAGACATTAAGTCCAACACACACCACAAAAGTACAAGGTCAACCGAAATACATGAATAAATCAACTATGCATTAACCATACCCCCATTTTACTTACATACACATTCCTATAGATGTGAGACCCATCCACCTTTCAAGTGGACCCTACGTGGGTCCACCAAAACACCATGACCACGTGTTTACACGTTCATCCACCCATTCCTACTCTCTCACGTACTCTCCCTTTTTGGTTGCTTCATTGCATAAAATTGTCTTATCATATACACGACCCACCCATCAAACCTTTACACTCATGTTTGAAATAATTGGAAACACTAGAATGGAGGTTGAATAGTGTAGTGGAAATTTTTTTGCCAAAAGGTCGTTTAAAAACTTTGTTAAGAATTAAATGATTTACACGAGTTGTCAAACACTTGATTTATAAAGTATTGTTTAAACAGTAAGTTCATAGATAAATGTTTTTTAAGTAGTTTCGCAAAGCTACTACAATGTTATGAGTGCAATAAACCTGGACATATTAAGTCTGAGTGTCCTGATCTTGGAAATATGAAAAGAAGAATTATTGGTCCCAAACATGACAAGAAGAAAATGCTGATGAGCATCTTGGAAGATCTAGACACATCTAATGAAGATGAAGAAGAAAAGTTGTGCCTTGTGGCAGGAAACATTGAAGGCTCATCAGATGACTGTGATGATGAGGTAGACTTTTCTAACTTGCACTCCGTCATTCATGCATATTATGAACTACTTTCATACTCTTCAAAATTGTTGCAAAAACGAAGCAAATAGCTTTCAAAAGAAAACAATGCTTTGAAAGAAGAAGTAACATCGTCCAAGGATGATGTGAAATCTCTGAAACAAAATGTTAGTAATATCAAAGAAAAGTTAATTATTTTAGAAAAGAAAAAGGAGAAAACTCTTTCAAAATAAGAAGCTTGTAAAGGACACAACTACGGCTAAAGATGCTAAACACGTTGAGTCTCTCAAACATGAAAACAAAATTCTCATCAAAGTGTTAAACAAAACACTTGAATTGAGCGAGCAGTTAAGACTCCAACTTAAAGATAGTAGGCATCCCTCTGATAAGAGAGGCTTAGGATTTAATAGGAATAATGTAAATTATGTTGACAAAATAGAAAAAAACATTAAATTTGTTAAGTCATCTAGTGATACATCAACTTCTAAAAAGAAGAAGATGCATACAACTAAGAAGAAGGAACCTTATACAATATGGGTACCTAAGAGTAAACTAATTTTCCTTGTAGATCTGTTTGATAACAAAAAGGAAAACATTGTCATGGTACTTGGATAGTGAATGCTCGCGACACATGACAGGAGAAAAATGTATGTTCCTAAGCCTAAAAAGCAAGAGAGGAGGAACAATCACCTTTGGAGGAAACCAGAAAGGCAGAATCATCAGAATTGGAAAGATAGGTACAAACCTTTTCCCATCTATTGATAATGTTTTATTAGTTGATGGCCTAAAGCATAATCTGCTAAGTATAATATGCTAAGCATAAATCAATTATGTAACAACAAGTTTAATGTTATTTCTAAAAAAGGCCAATGCAAAATCTTAGATGATAAGGGTTCATTAGTATTTACCACAAACAAACAAGGTAACTTATACAAAATAAATCTAAATGAATTGCAATCTCAAAGCGTTTCCTATTTATTATCTATAAAAGGTGATCAATATCATGGCATAATAATTGTGGACATGCAACTATGAGATTAATCTCAAAGCTACAATGTTATGACCTTGTGAGAGTATTGCCAAAATTTTCATTCGACGATACAATCTTTTGTAGAGCTTGCATGAAAGAAAAACAGGTGAAAGAATCTTTCAAAAGAAAAAACGTTGTTTCAATTTAAAGACCTCTTGAGTTACTTCTTATAAACTTATTTGGACCTACAAGAAATGCATATATGACTCGTAAACGCTATAAACATATTTAATCCTTAAATATTTATTTTATTATACCTTTTTTATTTCTAAAAATTCATAACACTCAAATAGAAATATAATACAATATTAAATTACTATTCATTGCATAAACTTCGTAAATACGAAAAGAACGGTTAGTCACATATTTCAAAATTAACATATTTTTTATCATTTACTTGCACGGTCTTCAATAATATTTCATTGGCATCGTTCCATGGTATCATCCCTAAGGTATGAGATCAATTTTTTTAGATAAGGTTAAATTTGCGCTATCTCAATGAATTAAAAATATTGCATTGACATAGAAGTGTAGAAGTTTAATTCTTTTTTAACTGTAGTATAGTCATGAATAAAAGCTTTTGTACTTATTTTTTAGGTTTAATACCTATTTTGGTACTCTTATTTGTTAGTTTTGTTCAAAGTGATCCTTCTATTTTTGAGTTGTTTAAAATGATCCCATTTTTTGTAAAAGTGGTTCAATTTGGTCCTTTTTGTTGATGACGTTTAAAACGCTAACGACGAAATGTCCACCTTAGCCAATGTTGAGTGGCTCGTGCAATTTTGAAATATGTGGGCTCGTTAAAAGTTTTTATTTCACTTTTTATATTTTTCTTATTATATTATTTTATTTTATTCTTAATAGATTCTCAACTTCTTCTTCATTTGGGTCACCACCATCACCGTAGCAACCACCATCTCCCTCAGGCCATCACCACACCGGCCACCGCGATAGGTTCCTCGTTCCTCTCTCTCATGCAACCATAAATCTGAAACATAAACCACACCCAAATCGCAACCACCAGTAACCTCGTTCCAGAACCATCATCACATATTCCCTTCTCTCCACAGTCTGCAAGAACGGGAGAAACCTTCATTCAAACATCCATGACCGCGACTCAACATGCAATAAACCATCACAAAACCCCAAATTGAGAATGTGAAACCCTAATCGCAATCATCCTCTCGCAACAAAGCCATAACAATGCCACCACCATGAACTGCCTTGCTCCTCTTCGCCTTCGTCACGAATTGCGACCTCAATCTCCCCCTTCTTCAACCTTAATCATGTAACCTGCACAGAAAACCCTATAATCCTAAATCAGAAAACCCATAATATGCAAAAATTCAAATCGCACCATCACTTGACCATGTTTGTTTTCTACACCTCAAGACAACCTCATCCTTCATCACGAGAAGCACAGGAAACTCAAAATCCCTAACCTTCCTTAGCTTAAATTTGACTTTAACCTTTAAGTTTGCCATGCCAATTCGGCTGATGTTGCCATGTGTTGCAAAACTGCATAGGTCACTTAACATTGGCTAAGGTAGACATTACGCTTTTAGCGTTTTAAACACTATCAGCAAAAAAGATCAAATTGAATCATTTTTATAAAAGATGGGACTACTTTAAAAACACAAAAATAGGAGAATCACTTTACCAAACTTAAAATAAGAGGACCAAAATGATATTAAACCTATTTTTCAATATTTTGTGTTTTCATGAATAGCTATAACCATGTTACCCTAACATGTTTCAAATGAATTTAAACACAAATTAATAAAATAATATAGAAAAGGCCAAATAACTCTAGCTTTGTTTTTTTTTTTTCTCTCGCTAATTTGTATTATGTGGTTTATGAGAAAATTGAAAAAAACTATGGTAAACAAATAAAAGCCATTTTCACAAAAATTTCTTTATTTTTTTTCGCAGGAATTGTTATAACCATAATTATGTTAGTTCAGATATACGGGAAAGCACAAAACTCAATTGATTTCAAACTTATTTATATATAAAATGGTCAAGTACGTGTTTTTATCTCCAAATTATTATAAGAAAATTATGTTTATTTCTAAATTAAATTATAAAATATTTTATTGATGATTGTCATATAAAATCTTATTTTTAACAAATAACATTATATGATAATTCACTCTTTAATCATATATTTCTTTTAAAGAATATTTTATATTATTTTTACTATTTGAAACAAACATTGTTTAGAGCCGTCAAAATAGACCATGAGTTGGGCCCCCACCCCACCCACCACCCCCCCCCAACCCCCACCCCCCCAACCCCCCCCCCCCCACCCCCTTTACTTAATCTAACCCGACTAACTTATTAATGAGTCCAAAAAAATTTGTATCTGACTTAGTCCAAGAAAACAAGTTGGTGGATTAAATGGATTGACTCACTTAATTATAATTTTTTTGTCTTCATGCCCCAAAAGATAACAAATAAAAAAAAAGCCTATGCGAAGGAACAACAGTCGAAGGAGCATGCAAAAAAACACAATAGCTTCAAACTACAAAAGACACACTCAAGGAGCATGCAGAAGCACAATCTACTTCATTTCAGAAAAGGAGCATGATCAGAAGTAGCATGATTAGAGAAGCATGGCAAAGGAACATGATATACTTCACAACCCTCGGAAGGAAACAATCATGAACCAAATCAAAATCAATAAGCATAATAATTTTTGATTTTTATTATAATTTAATATTTAGAATTTTATAGATGAGTTGTGAATTCAATTGCGTCAGAATGGATTCAGTCCTAGATGAATTAAGTTCTTAGTAGGCCAAATTCATTTTGACCTGCGTCGAAATTACACATTTTTTTAAATCCACTTGATTTGAACTTGATGAAACTAAGTTGACTCAAGTGTTTTAAACAATTTTTACAAACTCTAATTTTTTTATAATAATTTGAAAAAAAATATTTAAAATAAACCTTAAATAATTAAAATTATTATTATTTATATCTCTTTAACTAGTATTATATTGACTATTATCATTAAATTCCTTTTGATTGTTTTCAATCTTTCATATCTTTCCACTCTATATTGTTAATAAATATGTATTTATCTTCTCCAATCTAATATTGTAAGAAATATGTATTATGTGATCTCAGAATCTATTATATAATGACAAGAAGTAAACATACAAATAAAGATAACACGAATACTATTTCGAATGCAACAAGAAGATTCATACTACGACAAAAATAAAGCTCTTTCTACCTATTGTGATGTAATAATGATTAATTTGCATATAGTTTCTACGTCGTATCTAAGTTCAAGACAAGTTCCTCTCACGCATTAGAGATTCTATCTTTCCAACATCTTCCGGAGTGTCAACACCATGGGCCTCATGATTAACCTTTATCACCTATAGCAGAAAATGAAAACAAGCATCTCAATAAAGTGAGCAACAACAATGATGAGTATACAAATATTTCAGTAGCTTTGCTAGATAGATAAGATATCCTTTGGATAATTCAAATGGAACCAATGAATGTCTACATAACCAATCAATAGAAAGACTCTAACTGTCTTGACGTAAATGTCACTTAAATTTAGAATAACATTCTGTAAACACTAACAGGTAGTTATTCGTTGCATGGAATATATAATAATGAATTTGAGTAGACTTTGAGAATTTTTATTTCCAATTTTATGGAATTTGATCACTTAGCCTTTAACTCCATTACTCTGTGAAGAGATATAAGGGAAGACAATGAACTAGATGAACTCAATTAGTAAGCACTCAGCTAGTTAATTAGGATCATAAAAACTTGATTTATGATGCAAAATGAGGTAAATTAGAGTTTAAAAAAAGGACATTGATTACATGCGGTGAGCATGAGCCCATAATAATTCAGTTTATTTTGCTCATGAACAATCATGAAGCATATTGGGTGTGAGATGAGAAAGTAGGAAGAACAAATCTTGTTACATTCAATTAAAATGGGTGGTCAAAATTAGATTTAACAAAAATAATCTTTTGAAATATCCATAAATGATTGTTAACAAAGATTAATCACTCTTACATCCATTAAATATACAGATAAGGTGTATAAAAAAACTAAATATAAAATATAATAAATGCATCATGTGTATAAATGATGATGATATTTATCTAAATAATGACTTTTGATGACGCGAGCTAAATTAAAAAATTCGAGACCCTCTAGTAGTTGATCTTAAGCTAAAAATAACGGTTCATATAAAACTCAACTGTGTCAAATAGAACCATTCTTATGAACGTGAATCAAGTTGAGTCAAATCAACTGGGTTCCAACAGCAGTAGAGCACGTGCAAGTGCACCTCAAAACCATTTGTTGGATACTATAATCAGTGACTTCCGTTTGAAAAGTACTTCATAAGTACTGCAGTGCAGTGAAACATAACAGCAAAAAGACCAAAAGATCTTTGAGGAACCCCCTGTCAAGAGGATTTATGTTTAGGAGAAATTGGGTAGAGCAAGGCCCGTATAAGAGAAAGTCTAATTATGGCAGTTAGTGCAAAGAAATATGAACAGAAAGGAGACTAGAGAAAGGTATAATAATTGATCAACTGTTGTGGAAGGAATCAGGTTTATCGAATTACTTAAGAGGGAAAAACTTATTCATATAGTTCTTTTGCTGCGTATTTTGAGGACCTAGCAGCCCACCAATCAACGAACACCCTACATTACCCTCCCCTTCAATTTATTTGTGTTATTCTTCTAAAACATACTTTTGTTATGTACTGCTACAAACACCACCTTCCCTTGATATATTCCGGGTGCCGTCGAACCCAGCGTACCTCCTTCTTCAATCGCGCGCGTTTTCTGTGGCTCCCAGTCGTCCCTGTCCTCCTCGGAAAGAATCAGACCGGGCCACTGTCCCCGTTCTCCGCCAGTCGTTCTTGAATTCCGATTAGCCTCCTCCACATCTCGGGCCAATTCCATGGCTTTCAGCAAATCTTTTGGGTTATGTGGGCGGATTTGATTTCTGATTTCGCCTTGCAGTCCCGCGAAAAAATACCCCATAAGTTGGTCCTCCGTTATCTCTCTTCGTTTGCACCACCAACATCTCGATTCCTGAATATACTCCTCCACAGCCCCTTTCTCCTGCCTAACGCCCTTTGAACTTCCCCGCCCTCCAACCCCAGAGCCTCCTTCTAAGAAAGCTTTTGTTCATCGAACCAAATGGTCTCCCAGTTGCCGCTGAGCTTTGACGTCTGATGAACTTTTCCCGTTACCATCCCCCCACCAATCCCCCCCCCCCCCCCCCCCCCCCCACCCCCCCCCCCCCCCCCCCCCCCCCCCCCCCCCCCCCCCCCTCCCCCCCCCCCCCCCCCCCCCACCACCCCCCAACTCCCCCCTCCCCCCACCCCTCTCCCCCCCCCACCCAGCCTCCCCGTATCCCACCCCCAGCACTCTTGCTCCCCAGCCCCTCGGAACCCTGCCCCCCCCCCCTCCCCTCCATGCACCAGTACCGCCCCAGCTCCCCCCCCCCCCCCCCCTCACCCAACCCCCTGACATTCACTCCCCCCCCCCCCCCCGCCCCCCCCCCCCCCCCCCCTTCCCCCCCACCCCCCCCCACCCCCCCCCCCCCACCCACCCCCCCCCCCCCCCCCGCCCCCCCCCCCCCCCCCCCCCCCCCCCCCCCCCCCTCCCCCCCCCCCCCCCTGCGGGTCGAGTCCTTCGAACGTGGTAACTCCAGCCCTCTTCACCCAACTGGGTTGTATTCGCTTCTGTCATCGTCCCCCCCCCCCCCCCCACCAAGCTTCTTCTCTGACACTCCTTCCTTCCCCCCTACTGCTTTCGTTCACAGAACTTGACTCCCCTCCGAGTTTCGATCAAGATTCCGCGTTCGCCCGCCAAGAACTCGCGTGAGTTCTTTGATTTCTTGATGCAGTCTCATCGTTTCCGCCTTCAACCCTTCATTGTGTCTTCAATCGCCTCCATTCTCACCTTCATCCTTTATCCAAGCCTCCATATTCCCTTCCAAGACGTTCATCTTTCCTTCCATTCTTCCCTCCAAAGGGTTCAATTTTCCTTCCCATCTCGTCCGTCTCAAGTGATCGGTCCCGCCAATCTGTCACTCAAAGACCTCAAGGGAGCCAATTCCCCCCCACAGGATAAATGTATCTGTTATCCAAAGAATTTACAAACAACTCAAACTTTACAAGAGTTTCTCAGCCCTTTATATGGGCTCCCGTTTTCCCGCAAATTAATGTTATTACAGTTAAACCCTATTTACTCTCCTAAACAGATTCATTCCATTTTTTCCTTCTATCGTAAACTTCGGTATCCTACCACATACGTTTTGTTATGTACGGCTACAATACAACACCTGAGTGGCTTGATCCTTATCTTATCCTCGTATCATTGACTCGTGGACTCTTACTAGGCTGTCACCCAAGTGTTCAGAGTTCAATAGTCAGACAACTTTATTGGAGAACCTGAAATTTGATGGTTGGATGGCAACCAAACCTATACATGGATTTGAAAGGCTATTTGTATATCAATAGGATATTATATACGGTCAATATAGAAATAGAATAATAAAGTAAAAATTTTGCACCTTAGTCGAATAAAGTTAAAACAAGGGCCTACATAAATAGCTTAGGTACCTTCATCTTGTAGCCATTCTCAAGGACTTTAAGCTGTTCCAAATCCTCCTCTAGTTGCAAAGGAGTAGGTTGAAGATCAGGGTATATCCTTAGAAACTTCACATCATAGCTCTAGTAGATTCATCGGCAGAAAAACATGTTAACTCACAATGAAGAAATAATGGTATCTAAAGACAAATGACAACAAGTCAATGATTGTTATTCAGAAAATTAGAGAAAGTTTACGATCAGCAGGACCTGAATCCCTAGAGATGAAGCAAATACGCTGGAACTGTTGATTGACCTCCCTGACCTGCGTACATGGCAAGCTTTATCCAGGTATACCAAATATTACAACAATTTCACATTTTTGTGATAAGTAACAATTAAGATGGGAAATATGAACTTAAATTATTAGTAACTTACTTGTTGAATGGGATTAATCCTCGGGAAAAATAGATGGCATAACCACGATTATCTATCACACATTTCACTCTATTTGGATCATGAGCATCTTCAGGCTTTAAAGATGTGACTGCAGTGCTGAACACTGCATCTGGAGCTGCCTTTAAAGGTCAGGGTTCAGGATAGATAGTGCAAGGGAATAATATAAAATTATAAACAACCAGATATATAGAAATATGTCCTTTTAGGCAGAGTAACAGTACTTAAATGGGAAGATTTTCAAGATAATGTGATGCCAAAATAGTGTTTGGACCTATTGTTTACCATTATGTTCAGAACAAAAAGCAAAAAAAGGATCACAACTAAAGCAGGCTGTCATTTTTTTTTTTTGGCAAGGAACATATTTACATTTTCCACGGTATGAAAATACCAAATTTATGAAGTAAGAAACTCTTACCCTGCAAAGCTTTCACAATCACCGTCTATTTCTCATGTTCAATAAGTGGTTCGTCACCCTGAATGTTTGACAACAATATCATAATTTTCCCAAGCTTCTGTAGGGCTTCATTGCAGCGCCTCCGTACCTATCAACGAAAAATAACGAGTATGAACAATGGTGCAGTAAAAAGCTTGAGTGAACAATACAAAAGAAACTGATTAGCTTACCATTTTTGCAAGATTCTGATGTCATAATAACATCAGCTCCAAATTGTCCGACAGTCAGCAATCTTTTCATCATCAGTTTGCCACAACTAAAACCAGAGAAATTATCAAGAAGAAGCAAGATGACACATTCATGTATGCATCTACCAAATTGTAAAACTGTCTACTACACTTTCTTGAACATGAAGCACCAGGCAAAGTGCACAAGTAGTGCACAAAAATCTACCTATATTACAAGCCAGACTAAATCATGATATTCTTTGGTCAGTTTTCCCTAGAAATTCCTAACGGAAAGCACGCAATACTGGACATCCTGAAAACATTTTAAGATTGTTACCTTCAAAAGACCAACAAGAGGTTTTACCGTAGAACAAATTCAGATACAGCAAAGCTGAAAGAATATAATACATTTACATGTCATTATCCTATGATGTGTTTGAACATAAGATTTTGTGTCAGAGAACGTCCCTATCAAAAGCAACACATTGGAAAACATGGAAACATAATTTAAACTTCACTCAGCTTCTTCATTGGGAAACATCCACTGATCGAAAAGGAGAACAAAAACTTATACTACTTCACCACTTATACTACTTGACGTGGGACTGAACACCCCATACTAACTACCCTGCCCATCACTTAAGCTTCACTTTAGGGCATATCATTAACATACCAATTGTAAATATTAACTTCACTCGAGTTTATATATTAACGCTATGCATACTAATGCCAGATTAGATAGATCATGGGGATAAGACCACCCAACATGATCCAATGTAGCCGCCAGCTTTGCCCTTTCCCATGTTCTCTGTAAAAACCAAATTAGGTAAAATACATCATATGCTGGAAATAGTGAGTATAATCAAGAAGTCAACTGAAATTTTCTAATAAACTATAACCCCGTTTCTCCACAAGTTTCTCGGTATTTTTTACTCTAGGTAAACTTCACCTTCAATTCTCCTATAAAAGCTATCACCAAGTATGTTATGACTTGTGGAATGTGATGATTATAAGATATTGAGATTAATGTTGTGTTTAAGATCAGATTTGACTTGTGTTGAGTTTAAAGCATGAGGGAAAGAATGAAATGCACAAGATTGTGTGTGGTTAATGAGCATGAGGCATGGGAGGATTAGTCTACTTGTTGTACCTAGTAAATACTGGTTCTATATGCGAATAGGTGCTTCCATTAGCATGGGTTGTTAAAAGGGGGTGACTCTCTTTAGCATTGGTTGTTGAAAAGAGGGTGATGTTCTCTTTGGCAAATACTTGTAGAAAAGAGAATGATGTTTTGAGGGCTAAATCTTCTTTGGTGGGGGGTTAAATGTTCCGCCTGTGTGCTAGGGAACCTTCCAAAACCAAAAGAGGATGACTCGAGTTATCTGTAGGGAAGATACAAATGGGTCTGTATGAGCGACTATAGGTAGGTGAGATAAGGTACAAGAGTGTGACTGAGTCTTGTCATGATGAAGTTCATGAGTTGGTGATGCTCATGGTGTTATTCATGATTGGGATAATCATGATGGTGGTGTATCTATGATGATGATCATGGTATTGAAAATGCTTTAGGTTTTATGTTAGGTTGATAGTGATGTTACTATAATGGTTATAGTAAGTATTGCATAGTGCTAAGGAGTGGATAGACCTAAAGTCTATGTGTGAGATGTTAGTGATGACATCAAGGGTTAGAGATCAAGGATCGGGGATCGAGGTTCGAGGATCAGGGATCGAGGAACGAGTAATACATTATGATTGATTCTTATGTTAGAAGGATAGGAATACTATTGTTATTACTACTATGTATGAGGGGTGTTTATGATTGTTTATACCGATAGCTTACCCCATACATGTTTGTGTTTGTGTGTTGCGAATGGTGTTATCGCTGATGATTGCATAATGTGGTTATACTTGGGTAGATGATGTTGCAGATGGTGTTGAGGCATGATAGAATCAAGAGATGATGGGGAACAAACTTGGGACTTTTATTTAAAGTCCTATTGAGTTTTGAACTTTAGACATGTATTGGAGTTATTTAGTTCCTTCCTTATTTCATTAGACAAGTGTTTTTAGAGAATTATTATTTTGGAATCAATTAATGCACATTTAAATGTTATATGTTTTGAAATACGTTTACGCAGTAGGATAAAGTTTTAAAATTTACCAATTTTTGAATCACCCGTGACTAACCCGAGAAATTTTGGTGTTACAATGTTATAGCTACAAATAACCCAAATCTTGCCTGGTATAATTTGGTTGTTGTGTGGCACCCAACAATAACACTCTAACTCATTGG